CACACACACACACACACACACACACACACACACACATACACCAAAGCCCATAGCCAGCATTGCCATTGCCCAAGGCTGAGGAGTTAGTTTACACATGGCTGCTGGAAGACAGGAGACAAGCGTGCCTCTGGCACACACAGGCATGGGGACAAATTCCCAAAGGGATAAACCAGTTCACAAGTATTTAGGCATGGTAACTACTGTAAATGGAGAATCCATGTACAGAAGTAATATATTTTTGAACACCAGATGTTGGGAAGTGCCTTTAATTTCATGACTATGTGTACTTTGTGCCATCTTGCTGAATCCTGCTGAAAATAAAACACTTCTGGTGTTGTGAGGCTTGTGTAAAATTGCAGAACCCAACACAGTGAAATGTTCTGCTATTTTTCATCCAGAACAAACAACATCAAACTAGAAGCTACCACAGAATAATATTTTAAAGTCAACCGAGGGGAAATGGGGACTAAAGAGAACAAGATTTTAAGTGTTTAAAATGGTGATTGTGTTTCTCTCTAGGCCCAGTTCACAGCTGACAGTATACTCAACAAACATTAGCCACATTTGCTGCTTCCCTCAGCCATGGTTCAAACAGATAACATGTCTTCAGAAGAGGAGATTCCTTAAGGGCTGAAAGATAGGCATAACGTGAGCTTTTCACACCTCTTACAGTCAGCAAGTTAGCTTGCTTGAATTTGTGACTGTTGACTGGGGGGCAAACAGGCTTTGTCTGCAAATACAGTTGCTCAGAGAGGAAAATGTTCCAGCATCATGTTTCTAGAAACCCTAATGTGATCTCAGCTCAATGATGTGCTAAGGTACCCTCAGTGTCCACCACAGAAGCTGATCCTCCACGCAATACCCATTTTTGGGTGGTTGAAAATAGAAGGATGAGAAGGGGCCTTGATATGTGCCCATCTAATGCCCTCCAGGGGCAAGGGTGCTCTGGCCTCCAAATAAGCCATTTCTTAGGTGACAGGAAATATCTTAATTTTGAGAGGGGTTTGGGGGTGGGGTGGGGGGGGGGAAGAGAACTACTACTGCTGCTGTTGCTTCTATTGGTACAAACAGTATTAAAATAACAACTATTACAACTATTGTATTATGGTGTGCACAGCTTTTAATTCCTAGAACCCATTTTATTCTGTTCTTGCTCTTCTGTTGTCCAAGTTGTCTTTGCTGATTTATGTTACTTAAAATTTTTTAACTCCTCCCAGACATCTTTAAACATTGAAAAGCAAGATCGAAACTCGTTCGAAGGGAGAAATAAGTGATGTACAAACATACTGGAAATGCGCACTGGTGCTAGCTATTGCTTTTGAGGCCTCAATGTATGCATTTTGGGGAAAGGATCGGTACCTGTCGAAAAAACTCTTCCATCAGTGCCTTGGTCCAACGGAAGTGCAGATCCCAGGACTTTGACGGATGGCTGATGTCGGCTGCATGCAGAATCAAGGACATGGCTCTGGATTTGTCTATCCTGTCCATGCAAAGACATTTGCCTATTACACCGTTTCATGAGCAGGAACTCCCTGTTTCACTGTGCAGCAAACAGTCCCACAGCGACAACAATGCAGGACTGGCCCCGCCATTAGTGGAGCGAAGCAGTGGGCTTTGGGAACTGATGGGCTATTTACAAGGGGCTGTTGCATTGAAAAAAGACTTGTCTCCAACAGCAGCTGCCTTAAAGTGTTGCCATCTCCTCACCCCACCCCACCCCAGTTAGCCTGCTGCCTTTCACCTGCGGTGGAGGATGCTGTCCCATCAGCACCAGTGAGCGAAGAGTCAACTGCCAGTCCAGTCAGCTTCGGCATGTGGGTGGTGGGTGGGAACCTTTCCCTTGACCCAGACTGCAAAAGGTCTTTGGCTAGGCCTGCAAAATGGGTTAGGAAACCACTTACCCCTCAGTCTCCTGAAGAGTGTGCCTCATGGTTTTGATTTGCTGGAAATGACCCGACATATCCGTAGATAGGACCATCTCAATGACAAGGTTGCGCAGTTCCCTGTAGGCAATCAGAGTGACTAATTTACAGTTGCGTTTATTCCACAAAGATATGTTTGGATTAAAAAGTGCCGATTAGTCCATCTCTCATGCCAAAAATGGAAAAAAGAAAGCCACGACTTATGGTTATTATGAAAAAGAAATGTCCAGCCTTCAGGAGAGCCGATGGGAGATATTTATTCAAAACAACATAACCATAATATTACTGCTCATTCGGTCCCACTGTATTGTTAATCCTAATTTCAAAACAGAAGCTCAGGGTGAGATGCTTCGCCTTATGGCCATCTCCCCGCATGGCAGCCACCACAATGAGGCAAAGGTCTAACTCTGCCAACAGTCCTCACTGGCAACCAAGGTGAGAAGACACCAAGAAAGTCAAAGGATCTGCTTCAGGAAAGGAAGTATTCCCCTTGAATTGATCACTTTCAAGCAAAGGTAGGGAATCTCTGTCCACCCAGTTCAACTTCAGAGATGTTTTCTTAGGGGCTTCGTTCCAGTAATAGGTGGAGGCAAAGGGGCAAAAGGATCAGACCAACAATCTGAATATACTTCAGCTTGAAGCTCTGACTGCCAGTAACAAAACCTTACGAGAGGCCGTTTTCTCTCTCCGAATGGGAAGAGCCTCCATTAAAAATCAAGGCTGCAACTTAATGATGGAGAACGGGAACCTGGCCATGATGGGCCTGTGTTTCCCCATTGTTACCTTAAAGCAAAATATGGCAGGGCCTTCCTAAGGAATAAAGTACCTGGGTGATAAGGCAAGCACTCTAGTGACCCCAAAGTCCCCACTGAATAACATGCCATTCTCAACTAGTGCCACAGGATGGCCTTCTCACAGCACCTCCACCTGGTAGCAATGGTTTGGATCTAATAGGGACAGCGCAATGGTGCAACTCCCTGTGCATTTCCCTCTGCTTGAAGAAGGAGACATACGTGCTTGATTTTCATTGCTTGCTCATGCGACAACAGAGGCTAGGTGGTGCAATCTGCCAGTTTCTGTGCTAATCAGCTGCAAAACTCCACCTCCTCCACGAGCCAAGCTGGCCTGAATGGACCATGGTTGGACCACAAGGTGGAGATGCAAAAACCTCCCAACCAACCCAATAATACCTACAACTGCCTGCTTTGCTGGAGATGGCTGGATGCCTCCTCTTTCCCTCTCTGGGCCCTGTCTACTCCCATGTAACAAAGTCATTGGGGCTTTCCCTCCTTCAGGGTCACCTTAGACTTCATCCCTTGCATTTTACTGTATCTTGGAAAACAAGTTTTATTTCAGGGTATGGGACCTGAGGTGGCTTCATGGCAGGGATTTTCTTTTAAAATGCAATTTCCCCAAATTTTCTGAAAAGAAAAGGGATTATGAGACAACCGGATCTAACTGTGTGAATAAACTGTAATGACTGGCAGAAGGTGAAAAGCTTTGGAGAGTTATTGGTTTTTTTTGGGGGGGGGAAGAAGTTCAAAAATTCCCAGGCAGTTCATTTCTTTTAAAATGCAATTTCCCCAAATTTCCTGAAAAGAAAAGGGATTATGAGACAATCGGATCTAACTGTGTGAATAAACTGTACTGACTGGCAGAAGGTGAGTTATTGGTTTTTTTTTGGGGGGGGGGGCAAGAAGTTCAAAAATTCCCAGGCAGTTCAGCCATGTTGCTCAGGGAGTTGGGGGGGGGCTCCTAATCCGAAACAGCAACATTTATAGCAGAAAAATACACCTCTGGCTGCACAAACCAACCACCAGGGCAAACCAAAAAGTTGTCCTTCTTATCCTGTTGTGTTGTGGTTCTGTGCCGTCAAGTCGGAACTGACCTGAAGTGACACAAATAGATTTTTTTATGAGGTAAGTGAGGTCTTTAAGGGGTAAAATTCACTCCCACAGTGAATTTCGATGGCAGAGTTGGGGAATCAAACACATCTCCCTTGAGTCCTAGTCCGATACTCTATCCACTATGCAATAACGGGTACCCTTGTTGGTTACAGATGTTTTGCATGTGATGAAGGGAGGTACCATTAAGTTATACTTCCTCAGTCTTTCGCCAAAGTGCATTGCCAAATACATCCCTGCTTCCCAATTCCCCATTCTCCTCTTCTGGCCCAGAGAGACACGTGAGTGTTACAAAGGAACCGTCTCTTTGGTATGCTTTCTTGACCAAGCGAGAAGCTTTGAACTGCCCCATCAGATGACTCCACCTCTTCAGATGAGTGTACAGTTAATTGCACATTACTTTTTGTGACTTCCTTACAACTTATTTAAGGAACCTTTTCTTAGACAGGGTGGGAGGGCAGGTCCACAGCCAGGTCTTTCTGAATCATGACATTGGTTAGAAATTATTTGCATCTGCGAGAGTGGCAGCAGTGGCACAGGGGCCTCTGTGGGTGGGCTCTCTCACCTTCAGCCAGCGTCCTTAGGATTTTGTGCAATGAGTTTCCTGGTAGACATGGGGGATAATCACCTAGCTGAACAGTCACCTCAAGAACCTGCATAGGAGGAACTTGGGGTACAACAGCTGGGAACTCAGGCAGAAGTCCTGGAGTGGGAGGCCTGGGCCAGGAAAAGTGACCCCTGGAAGGGGGAGAGGGTTACTGGAACACGGGGGGGAGGATATAAGGGAGGCTTTGGGGTCAGAAATCCAGACCCCTTCAGGAGAGAAGAAGGAAAGGAGAAAGCAGAGGGTACAGACAGGGGACCCCTTACCCTATGTCCTGATTGAGGAGGTGGAAGAAGCAAGCTGTTGAGGGAAATACCCTGAAGGATCCCGCCAAGAGCTTCTAGGCAGAGGAAGATTCCCACCCACCACCCACCCCGAGGAGCCTGAGCTATCCAGGGACTAGAAACATGATCACAAAGAAGAGCCTTAGGCTAGGTAGTGGTGCAGTTGCAGGTGCCCAAAGAGGAGGCCAAGAAACATCTCAACCCCCAACTCCCTCATTCCCACTTACTGGAAAGAGCAAAGGTATAAGGGGGAATGACAACGCCCCAGCCAGTCTGAACCCAGGGGACTGACAGCAACTGAGCTCCGGTGCTAAGAACCAGAGAGAGAGAGAGAATGAGAGAGAGAAGGGAAAGGGACTGTCACTGCCGACCTCCATGTGGGCATATCAATACTCTCTTACATGGGCCTCATGGTTTGGGCCAACATGGGCAAGCGCAATACACAAGACAGGGTGAAAACCCTTCCCGATGGTGTTAACTGGAGGGTTCCCAGACTCTAAGGCATACTTATGGGAAGTGAAAGCCAAACAGCCACTTCTTTATAAAATCTATTTGAACTCAAATCTTCTTTGTCCTGGCCCATGGAGGAATGGAATAGAGGAAGGAGCCCCCACAGCATCCTTTACAAGAAACCCGTCTGCTGAAAAGGCAATAGTACCTCTAGCTCAAGGTCAAATCTAAGAGCTAAAGATAAGACGATCCTTCGGTTCTCAGTACTGATTGCAACTCACAATTAGCTGCAATGGGTTTCTAGTGGTTTTACCAAATGGAGTATCTTTTTGTAAACGACACTCTGCAGCCATGGTAACAGATGGTAGAGAAAATCCATGCCTTGCCTGACCTAGCTGGAGGTTAGCAACTCACGAGTTCTGAGCAGTTGTGTTCAAAAAATTTTTTTAGAGCTAGGTGCAAAAACACCGCTTGGAAACAGAGGGCTTTGAGTATTAGGAAAGAAAGAAAGGAAAATACTGAAGCCGAAGGATTGATCCTGGTGTCTGCAAAGCAGTAGCTGAAATCGAGTAGCAAGTTGCAACTAGAGTAGGCCCACTGAATCAGTGAGGATTTCGTGATTCATGTCTTTGCAAATTCCATCAATTCTAGTTGTGACATGCTACTGGATTTCGGCCAGTATTTTTTAATGATTTTTATTTTTAAATTTAAAAAAGGGTTTCTGAATGAAGTGGCTCATTTCTAATTTCACAGATATACAGTCAGGTACTATAATCTGCTCCGGGAAATTCAGTTATTTTGTGTGACTCGTTTTGGGATGATTTGAACACACAGCTATTTCACCTCATTGAGGTGACCTCTCTTTTTTTTGGCACAAAATGTCTATTCAGAAGTAAGCTTCGTTGAGTTTAATGGGTGTGGTTTTCAGATATATGGGTGCAGGATCACAAACTGAGTGATGTGTCCGACTGCAAGGGTGGTGAGCAGCAAGTTGCTCCTGCACTACAGCCGGGCAAAGCACGAAGGGCAAGGGAACGCTTCTTGCACTCTTCCCCAGGCTCTGAGAGGTGTTGGTGGAAGGAAGTGGAACCCTTGCACTCTTCCCCAGGCTCTGAGAGGTGGTGGTGGTGGAAGGAAGCGGAACGTCCATTCCTGTTGCTCTTGCCACCACCATGTCCTGCCCTTCCCTTCGCTACCTTCCAGGCAGCTAAGATGTTCGTCAGCCAGCTGCCTTCCTCCTTCAGACTGGTGTGTGATGCACTGTGCCAGCATGTCGATTATTCCATACAGCAGCATCAAAGGGCATCTCAAGAGGGACACCCTTGAGGAGCTGGGCAGGACAGGCAGGGCAGGGCTTGGGCGTGGGGGAAGCACCTGGAGGCACCTGGAGATTGCCTTGAACTTGTGACAGGGATGGCCTTCACCCTGAAAGATAAACCGACCATGTTTTGCACGGTTTTCCCCCACAGCTGGTCTCTTTCTGTGCTGACTAACATCATTGTGGGGTCAGTCAAAACCTGCAATTCCATGTTTGCTTCTTACTTCTACATCTCGTCCCATACAATGTTTCTATTAAGGGGAATTACTGGAACAGGAGGACGTCCATGCTAGAGGACATGTTCACACATCACACCTCAATGCCGAGGCAGCAAGCCAACAGGGAGCAGTGTTATGGTTTTTCCATGACCCACATGAATTGGGGCTCCGGTAATTGTCTTTCTGGGCAGATCGGCAAATCTTACCTCCATTCGTCTTTGGTTAGGTTCACCAGGATGTTCATTTCTTCTTCTTGCATAATCTTATAAGCAGCACTTACATGGTGGTTTTCAAGGACAGAGCGGTCATTGTATAAAATGGCAACATCTGACCTAGATGCAGAGAAAGGAGTATTACGCAAACATTAACAACACCATTATAGGCTTATCGCTCCATCTGTTATTTTAATAAGAGAGTTATAGCTCGTAAATGTAAGAGAGAGAAAAACACTGGTCTTCTATGTTCTGATAACTCAACCAGCTGGAAATGCCATTGTTCAATATTTAACCGTGGCGACTGTATGCAGTGGGGCCAACCTTACCTTGAAGCATCATGAAAGAGGTGCTCCAGACAGTAAGGTGGCATTATCTGCCATGCCTCTGCCATTTCAATTTATTTATTTGATTTTTCTGATTTCTGTTCTACTTTTCTGTGAAAACTGGGACTCAAGACATTTATGAATTAAAGCTATGGCTTAGAGCAGGGAGGTGGGCTATACCCCCCCTTAACTGGGACATGAGATAATGTGGGGCTGCACGGATGTAAAGTGAGACAGACTGGCAAAAAAATGGATATAATCAGCTATATCTGCGAGTAAAAGTATGGCTAAATAAATAGCAGAACGAAGTGGCAAAATCCTGAGGTACACAGTCTGCTGATGGGGGACCCACCATTTTTATTGTCGCTGTCATCATCAACATCATCATCTTACAATTACATTCTGCTGATGGGGGACCCACCATTTTTATTATCGTTGTCATCATCAACATCATCATCTTAGAATTACAGAGCTGGAAGAGACCCTAGGGCAGTCATTCTCTGTTTTTTTGTGGTTATGGCCATAAACACGATGGAAGAGACCCTAGGGCAGTCATTCTCTGCTTTTTTGTGGTTACGGCCATAAACATATAAGCCAAATCAGGATTGTATCAGTTGCATAACGAACCTTATAAAGTGGTGTGCGAAGAACTGTTTCCAGTCTGTGGCCCTCTTAAAATATGCCAGGGGCCCCCAGCAGTCTGTGGCCCTCTTAAAATGTGCCAGGGGCCCCCAGTGTGACTACATGCTCCCCTCCCCATTGAGAATGGCTGTCCTATGGATAATTGAGCCCCTTAAGAATAAATAAAAGAACATCCTAGTCCATCAAGAAGATCAGAACCTTATCCCAGCCACAGGATTTAATAACGGGGCTGGGACAGCTCCACATTGGGTTAGAGAACCTGGTGTTCAAGCACCACAGAGCTGGTGCTTCTTAACTATGAGTATAAACCTCCACCGAGCCTCCTGGGAGAAAAGCCAGCAAGATCACCTGGAGCCTTGCTGGCTGATGGCGTTACATGCTCTGCCACCCAGGCAGCCTCAAGAAGAGCAGAGATATCTGTGCGTTTCTATGCAGAGGGAATGGCAAACTACTTCGGTTTTATATGCCGAAAACTTGCAGTGTGCAAATACTGTCCGGTCCAATTTGTCCCCAAATATTTGCTGTATAGATGGAGACTGACCTGCCTCAGTCTGATCTGGGGGTGATATGAGCTGATTCCCCCCCCCTTTGGGTTTCTGTTTCCTGTGTGTGTTTGTATATATTTGTAAGTTTCTAGATTGAAGGAAAGTGTGAGTGGAAGGAAAGCAGGTTATGATGATGGGGGGGACACGGCATCCACCTTCCCCCATCCCCAAGGAACAAGGCCCCCCACTCTTTGCCTAGGTTCTGCCCTCCCACAAATCCACCTTGCATCAGTCAGGAGCAAGCATTAAAAACAATAAAATAAGTTGGAAACAGTGGAGTCGGGGGGCGGAGGAGGAAACGGGGAGGACACAAACGGTCCTTAGCATTGCTTTGATGTATCCAACCAAAGTCTACAGAGGCAAGTCTATCATCCATTACACACACACACACACACACACACAGAGAGAGAGAGTCCTCAATCTAATGAAGACTCAGTGTAGTTACCAAAAAAAGGAATAACCTTTTAGAATGTAGTAACTCTAGTAAGCAATGTAGCCCCTTCCCTCCCCCATGCCTGGATGTGAACTGGCTGCTAGGTGGGTGGGTGGGAGGGCAGGACTACACAGAACCTGAAGAGGTGTCCTGATCCTTCCCAGGGCTCAGTGACCAGAGCTTCCTGGGCAGGTGTTGGCTTCAGCTCTTAACCTCTTTCTACTTTCAGCACTTCCTTCTTTTGCTAGATCAACTAGTACCAAGGAATCCTCTCACCATCGCACCCCTCCCCCATACACACACACTTCCAACATTTCTAACCATCCGAATACTGGAGCAAATGTTAAATGATTTGTAGGGGCACATGGACCTTACAGCTGGTCCAGCCATGTGCAAATATCTCTGCTCTACTCATATGAACGCTTTGATTCAAAGCCAGTGACTTCCTTATAGAAAACCTTGGTAGATTCGCTGTAACTCAGAATCAACTCAACAACACATAATTTAGATAAATGTAAGGCCAGAACCGCTGGACGGCTCAGGGGTTTAGGTCTCTGGCTGCAGAGTCAGAGGCTGGGTGTTCAATTCCCTCTCCCCTGCCTCCTTGACAGGGGCTGGACGCGGTGATCTACAGGGTCCCTTCCAGCTCTGCAGTTCTAGGATTACTATTATTATTCAGTCATGGAAACAGCATGATGAAAGCTCTGTTTGGAATCAGCCATAGCATTGTCTGCCAGCCCATTCTGTTGCCTTCTCCATCACAATTGCCACTTGCTTCTGCATCCACAGACTGGGCTAAGACTCCCTTGTCAAAGAATGGTGGAAGGCGCCACTATAAATAGAGCCAACTCTGGGTGTGATGGTTGGGAAGGCATGCACCTGACCATGCTGGAAAAGACAACTTTAATTGGAACAATCTCCTTTAAAGTGACCCTTCCCTCTGTCAGGGAATTGTTCCAGCTCAGCCCCGAAAAGTAGAAGCTGTCCATCTAGGCCAAAAAGGTCCCACTTGGGCATTGGACTGGAGCTGAGCTGGAGTGAATTTCCCTATGTATGGTGTAATGGCTGGGAAACGGATGTGCCGGACCCTCCATGAACATTTCAAATTGGAATCTGTTTCCTTGTGTGATCACCCCCTTAGTTTTATTTCTTGTGAGGAAGTACTGAAGAAGAATCGGCAAATTCTTTCTCTGGGTTTTTGGCACTCAAAGCCAAGTTCTTCAGGAGGGGAATAGAAAAGTGGGTTTTGCTGGAGATCACCGGACTGAGTTATGCTCTGCTCCAGCTTTGCAAGCTTGAGGAGACCCCAAGCATCCTTTCTTGCCCTGTCCCAACCAGCAGTTTTCCTTGCTCACCTTCTCCCCTGCCTGCTGCTCAAAACAGATCAAAAGCAAAAGCCTGTTGGCCGTAGCACAGGAGGGGGAGGTGGTTAAGGGCAGGTGTGCATAGGATTGGACTGGAGGACTCATTCTGCTTTATGTCCCGTTATGTTGTGTATACAACCAGTCTGGTATGGCAGGAGTGCTAGATTTTGACCTGGAGGTCCTGGATTGGGACCCCCATTCATTCACGAGGTTGCTTCCTCCTTGCCTAGGCCAGCCTGCCTCACTGAACAGTGGTCAGGACAAAATGTTCAGCCCACTGAATTCCTTGGGGGGAAAAAGGAGAGGACTCAAATAAGAGAAGCAGATAAGATAGTGCAAAAGATAGTATACCTCAGCAAATCCAAGTGTCTACCAGCAATTCTAGACAAAAATGTTTGCAAACGAAAATGGTTCCCCCCCCCTCTCTTTCTCTCTCTCTCACTCACTCACTCACTCACCACTATTGTGGAGACATAAAACATCTCAGGCAGGGGAATTCAGTATCTGCAAACTCGCAAGCCACGTTGTTTTCCCCGCCCCTGAATTTCACTCCTCTTGCCTTCTGGAAGCTCCACATTTACTGCATTAGTGGAACTTTTCACATTCTTTCCCTGGCATCAGTGTGCCACCAAATCTCACAGAGAAACAGCTTTTAGAGGTCTGCTTCTGGAAGCCATCATTTTCTCCCCTCCTCCCCCCCTTGTTTTTAAGAGGTGTGCAGCTAACACGCAACAGACTGACCTGGTCTGAATGTGGAAGTTGTTTGTCGTCCCGGTGTGCTCATAGTCATGGACAGCAGCTGCAAAGATCATGGCTAATATTTCCAGTTCAGTGAGCCAGTGCTGCTCAACAGAAAGAGAACCCCATCACATACAGCGCAAAAACAACATCTCTTGCCAAATGTCTTGCCCATACTGATTCCACATGTCTTGTACAACCTTCATCTTGTAAAATGGAGTGTGAAGGCCAAAATGAGCAACTGTGGCCTTCAAGATAATTTTGGACTACAACACCCAGCACCTCTCACCTTTGGTTATAAGAGTTGAGACTGTTGGGAATGTCCAGCAACATCTGGAAGACCACAGTTCCTCACTCATGCCTTAGTACCTCCTTGAGTCAGTAATTTATTGAGTCAGCAATTTACTGGTGACCCTATTATATTGCCACCTGGATAGCCCTGGGAAAGCCAAAATGCCACCAGAAGGAGAGATTGGTAAACTGAATGCTGAATGCTTATAAGATCTGGAAGCAAGTCTTGTAGCTGGAGTGGGGAAATATTCACCTTCCTGATGTTATTGAACATCAATTCCCAGAAACCCTTACCAGCATAGTCAATGGTTAGGGATTATGGGAGTTGTAGTCTGAATCATTTGGAGGCACACATACTCCCCACCCTTGCCTTGGAGCATGCTAAAGCTGCTTTTTGAATCATGACATATGGTTTCCCAAAACACACCTCTCTTTACAATAGTGACCCCATCAGTGCATAGAGACACAATGTTCTGGCTCTGGTTAAGGACTTTCTCCACCTTTGACAGGCTCAGCCCAATGTCTCGCTTCTTACCATGATACCAGTGAGAAGCAGGATGCAATGCACTGTGTGGGTAACATCTGCCGCATGGATTAAATTGTGGTAGGGGTTTCTGTGTTTGCTGTAGCCAGCTTCCAAAGCTTCTCCAAATGAAATGAGACTGGGAACAGGGATCTGCAAGAGGCAAACATTGGAAACAAAGCAGACAGGAGCTGAGACATACAACCTACAACCGCAAGGTGATATGTACTGCTGGTTTTGTCATTCCCACATGCAAACATCATCTATAAATTAGAACAAGAAGAAAGCAAAAGAGTCCTACTTTGAAATAATCTTTTTGCACCTGAAAAGGACAAGAATAGAATCACCTTGAGGCCGCTTTCCAGAAATCTACTACAATCCCTTTCAATTCATGGCTTGTGTGATAAATTGGAGTTACAAGGAGCCAATGAAGTAAGTCACTTCAACAGACAATGACCTTCCCTCTTCGCTGCCGTATCCCAGGGTGTAGTGGTGGCTGCTGATGACCCCAATTTCAGAAGTGCTGTGAATCCACTCCAGGTCAGAGTTTACATTTTATAGGAGCAATCCAATTGCTGAACCTATTTTGGGGTATAGGGTTCAATAACACGGATGACTCCTGTCAAATGCAGAATTTGAGTCACCAACTGCCATTATCAGTGTGATTGGTGTGTGATGCTCAATACATAAAAAGTCTATAGTGGTCTAATCCCTAACCAATGGCTCTTACAGTCTGGATCTGGACATACAGTCGTGGCCAAAAATATTGGCACCCTTGCAATTCTGCCAGAAAATACAACTCTTCTCTCAGAAAATTGTTGCAGTTGCAAATGTTTTGGTACTCACATGTTCATTTCTTTGGTTTGTGTTGTAATAACACACATACACACAGACACAGACACAGACACACACACAGAATAAAAGTCAAATATGATACAATCCCACACAGAAACTCAAAAATGCACTGGCCAAAATTATTGGCACCCTTAACTTAATATTTGGTAGCATCCTCTTTGGAAAAAATAACTGAAATCAATCGCTTCCTGTAACCATGGATGAGTTTCTTACACCTCTAGACTGGAATTGTGGACCACTCTACTTTTGCAAACTGCTCCAGGGCCTTCAGATCTGAAGGATCCCTTCTCCCAACTGCTGTTTTGAGATCTCTCCAGGGGTGTTCTATGGGATTCAGATCTGGACTCATTGATGGCCATTTCAGAACTCTCCAGCTCTTCGTTTGTAACCATTTCTGAGTGTTTTTTGAAGAGTGTTTCAGGTCATTGTCCTGCTGGAAGACCCATGACCTCTGGGTGGTAGATGCAGTTTTCTGACACTGGCCACTATGTAGTGCCCCAAAATTCTTTGGTAATCATCAGATTTCATGATATCGTTCACATAGTCAAGGTATCCAGTGCCAGAAGCAGCAAAGCAACCCCAAAACATCTTGGAACCTCCACCAGGTTTGACTGTAGTGACTGTGTTCTTTTCTTTGAATGCTTCATTTCTTTTTCTGTAAATGGTGCCATGATGTCCTTGACCAAAAAGCTCTACTTTTGTCTCACCTGTCCACAGTATATTCTCCCAGAAGGATTGTGGTTTTGTCACATAAGTTTTGGCATACTCCAGTCTTGCTTTTTTATGCCTTTGTGTCAGCAGTGGTGTCCTCCTGGGTCTCCTATCATAGCATCCCTTTTCATTCAGATGGTGACGGACAGTGCGAGCTGACACTGTTGTTCCCTGTGTCTGCAGATCAGCTTGAACTTGTTGGGAAATTAATCTGGGTTCTGTATCCACCATTCAAACAACCCTTCATTATAATTTTTAAGTGATTTTGCTCTTCCATACATATCCAGGGAGGTTAACTACAGTGTCATGGGCTGTAAACCTCTTGATGATATTGCACACAGTGGACACAGGAACATTAAGATCTCTGGAGATGGACTTGTAGCCTTAAGATTGTTGATGTTTTCCCACAATTTTTTCTCTCAAATTCACAGACAACTCTTTACACTTCATTATTTTCTCCATGCTCAGTGTCATACCCAAAACAATGGTTGAGTCAGCTTTTTTCCATCTTAATTGGTTGCAAGTGTGATTACTATAGTGCCCACGCCTCTTACTTGCAACAGGAGTGTCTAACTACAAATAAAAGGAGCATCACATGCTTGCAAAGCAATTATTTCTTACAATTTAGACAGGGTGCCTATAATTTTCACCAGTGCATTTTTCAATAATTTTCACTAGTGCATTTTTGGGTTTTTGTGTGGAATTGTACCAGATTTTACTTTTCTTCTCTCTCTTTTATTGTGTGTGTTGCTCCAACACAAACCAAAGAAATGAACATGTGAGTACCAAAACATCTGCAAGTCCAATAAATAAATATAATAAAACATGTGAGTACCAAAACATCTGCAACTGGGACAATTTTCTGAGAGACGGATTACGTTTTCTGGCAGAATTGCAAGGGTGCCAAAATTTTTGACCATGACTCTAGGGAAAAACATAGAAAGTAACTTTTGAGAAGAATTAATAGAATGACATGGTGAAGACATCAGGGTGCCAATATTTTTGGCCATGACTCTAGGGAAAAACTTAGAAATTAACTTTTGAGAAGAGTTAATATAATGACATGGTGAAGACATTCATATTTATGAGGAGTAGGATAACACTTTAGGCCACAATTTCAGCATCTCATGTTCTTTGTTCTCTCTAGAAGTAAATGTCCAAACTCTGATGAAAGCTGGGATCTTCTAAGACAGAAGTCCACACTAAAGAAAGAAATAGAGCTATGCCTGTTTGAGCTGATCACCTGGCTAGTAAACAGTGTCCAGTTTCTGACACAAAGGGTGCCTTTTACAACCATACTGAGCAGAGGCGAGCCAATGGCAGCCCTTCTACGTGCGGCTGTGCTGCAGCCCCCATGACCCCACCGCCACCACGCTGCCAACATCTGGAGGGTCTGAAGGTGCTCTGGAGAGCCATAAATCCCCCCCCATCTATGTCTCATGTTGTCCCATAGAACAAGCCATTAGGGATCTACAATGCTGCTAACATAATGCTTTCCCTTTTAATCTACTTTAGTTTATCTTATTGTTTAAGTTCCTGCCAAAAACATGGCTTTTCTAAAGCCTCAAACCTCTCATCCAGTTAAAGGTAGGATGACTGATTATGGTTATTTGCAGGGTTAGTTTTTCATCAGATGAGTCACAGCGTGAATACATTTATGGCTCTTCAATTTTCACACAAATATTTGAAAGCTGCCCCCAATTAAATGGGAAAAAACAAACACATGGTTAACATTTCAGTCCAGTCATTCATCAGTTTTGATTAAGAGAACACAACGCCTTATCTAGATACAAAAGGAAGCACGTCTGAAACGAAGAGTAGTTACTTGGCTTGAATTGATGTAAGTTACTTCTTTCTCTTTTTCCTCATTCTGATGCTCTGAGCCTGCTATCCTCTCTCAAGAGGGAGAGAAAAGCAGTTCTAATCTCTGAGTTAGGGAATGGATCCCCCCCTTTCAAATATATATTTGCCCTCCCATGCTCTGAATATGCATACCATTTTAAAAGATAAATCTTTTTTTAAATGCAGTTTTGCCACTAAATTCCATCATAGACCTTTATTGTGTTTCTTTAATAAGTTTTATCAACATTTGTAAATTTTCCGAACCCAAGGTAGAGCTCAGTCAAGCAATATATATCCAATAAGTAGACATAAGCAGTTCCTGCCAGGCCATTCAATAATAATTCCTGATTTTTCCTGAACTGAGATGTCAGGTGAGTTACTTAATTGATCTCATCTGTAGCCCATCTTTCCTCCAAGGAGTTCAAGACAGCATATGTGTGGCTCTCTTTCTGCTTGCTTGCTTTATTTATTTTGTTTATTTGATTTCTACCTCGCCCCTCTAGACAGAGTCTACTCGGGGTGGCTTACAAACAAGTATAAAACATTATAAAATACAATCAAATAAAGTCATCAAAATATATATAAAACAATCGCATAATTAAATCAGCAAATTAGAAGATCAAAAGGGAAGGGAAAAAAAAACTAAAGAGAAAAGAAAATCAGGTGCTTGCTTGACCCTCATAACTACCACCCTCTGAGGCAAGTCAAGATGAAGAGGGTGTGGCTGTCCCAGGATCACCCAGTACACGACACAGCTCCATGGGAACAGGAACTCAGATCTTCGAAGACCCAGGCAGATACCCCGACCACCACACCACAATTTTGTCTTCGTTGTCTTTTTCCTGCCCAAGTGACTCTCCTGTTTTGTTTTCGGTTTTTTTAGCACAAGGCATACGAGGAAAGAGACTTGCTGATACCTGAGTAAATGCTGTTACTCAGGTAACAGAAGCTATTTTCATTGCTACTCATTTAGAAGCGGTCATCTGTAGGGCCTCTTCGTATGCTACTTTTGATGTTCACAGATTTAACATGTGCCCTACCCACCAGACATCTATTCTGAAACGTTATGGCAGGGGAAAAAAATAGTTACCATAGCCCCACTCTATTATCGTAAGCACCGAGATTGTTTAGGAATAATGCAAGATAAAGCACTCCTTTTCTGTGTGCGTGTGTTCTCAGGCAGTTTCTTACCTTGAAACGGCTCAATAGATCGTATCTGGTAAACAATTCATACATCATAAATTTCAGGCTGTGGCCTCCACTTGCTTCATTTAAGGCAAACACATCAAATGACCATTTATCGACATCCTGAAAGCACAGTGAGGAGGGAAAAGAAATTATACATTTTTTTAAATCCCCCATCAAGCACAGTCAGATGCAGCCAATCCTGGACAGTCCTTCATAGGATTAAATAAAGATGGTCCCGGACGAACTTCTGTGAATGGTGCCACCACATGTATCAACCAAGCAGAGTCTGGGCCGCTGCCCAATAACCCAACTGCTAGAGAATGGCTCTGGGTAGAGGGAGTTGCCTTGGAAGTGTGGCCACTGGAGGAAGCAAACAGCCTTTAAACCTTGGGCAGCAGCAACATCAGTACCACCCAGAAGCCAAAAGAAGAGAGGCAGGTGGAGGACTGCAGCCATAATGGTAGCCATCACAATCAGTCATAACATGGTGGAAGCCATGGGAGGCAACAGAATGTCATTATATCTTCCCATGGCACTTCCCATGACTAGACAAAATTGTAAAAAGGGGGTTAGTCCCCCACAATATTTTGACAGCCAAAGGGTGCTAAGAATCTCTGCGCTGAAAGTTATATTAGGAATTTGGAATGCATATAGGTAGGAAACAGGACAATTCCCTGAGGCACTTTAAAAAAAAGAGGCAAGGATGGGCAATCATATCTTTGAACTTAGTGAATTTTTTTGGCCAAGATTGAATGGACTAAAGATAGACAGTGGGGACAGTATGGTTTATTTGGGCAGTAGTGATGTACTGGAGTATTATGGAGCTGCAAAAATAGTAACGTAAGAAGTGTGCACAGCGGTTACAGACTTTGTTGGATAGGCAGACGAGGTGATGTTTTCCAACTAAAAGCACACACCCCCAATACACGTACAAGTGCTAAGAAATATGAAGGAAGAACAGAGAAATTCTATGAAGAATTGAAAGCTGTTATAAAAACCAGGCAAAAAAGCAACAGCTTGATTTCATAATGAGCAATTTAAAGAAAGAAGCCTGTGGAGATTTTGTGTGTGTATATGTGCGGGGTAGGTAAGGGGAAAAGTACAGATTAAGAACAAGAAATGAAAAATGCAGAACAAGTGATACAGCTTTGCGAAGAAAAAGAGCTTGGCGTTGCCAACGCCATTATTCAAATCATCACCAAGGAGACTATGTACGTGGCAACTGCTGCAAGATGGCACTGAAGACAATATTGTGAGGACACAAATGGGCTATATCCTAGTAAACCAGGATGCCAAAACAGTGTCAAATTAGTGGACATATCTCAGGGTTGGAATAGTTCAAATCATAACCCTGCCACCACTGTAATTTGCTTCATGTTAAAGAAAATACAAATTACTAAAAATAGAAAAACCATAGAAATGAAACACCTGAGGGTACAAAGACCACGCAAATTACCTGGCAGCTTATCTCAGAGTTGACACTGTTAAAATGGAAGTGCTTACTAGCAACTACAAAACTTATAGTTTTATAATTTTATAATTTAGAGTTTTAAAAAACTGTAAAAAGCTAGCACGGCTTTTCTCTGTTTTCTGGAAGGTGGGATCAACTAAGCTCATTCCACTCTGGAGTAGATGAAGCAGAATACCAGGGTTTAAAGCTTCTGCATCCAAATCCAAAACAGTTATGATGTCCAACCTCTCATGGAAGAGGAGCAAGAAAAAGAAAGACATGGGACCAATCTAAGAGTGTATTTGCGTGACTGGGAGGGAGGGAGGTTTTCTGAGAAAACCAATGCATTTTGATTTCAGAAAATTTGCTCTTCTTAAATACAGAACGAATACTGCTCCAATATTATGAAATGGCAATGAGGAGGTGTTAAAAAATGCCGGAGTATGGAGTGGAGCTGTTCACACACTCTGTTCCACTTCCTTTCCTACATGGTCTTCCATCTGTCCACCATAGCCAGCCAGCATGGAGACTGTGCAGATGTCACTCTGTTGGTACCAATGGCCAACAGGACCAGCTGGCCATTGGTACCATCAAGCTGTGCTTGTCCTTTCCTATTTCCTGGTGGAGCCAATTGCCGCAAACAGATGGAATTAGAAAAGACCATCAAGTGTAAGGATGTGTCATTGGAGACCAAGGCCAGGATCATCTACACTCTTGTATCCCCAGTCACCATGTATGGGTGTGAAAGTTGGACAGTGAAGAAAGCTGAGAGGAAAAGCATTGATTTGTTTGAAATATGGTGCTGGTCATGAGCTTTGGAGATACTTTCTAGACTGCCAGAAAGATGAACAAATGGGTCCTGAATCAAATCAAGCCTGAACTCTCTCTGGAGGCAAAAATGTTGAAACTGAGGCTGTCCCTACTTTGGGCACATCGTGACAAGGCAAGATTCCCTGGAAAAGACAATCATGCTGGGAAAAGCAGAAGACAGCGAGAAAAGAGGGCGATCGGACATGAGAGGGACTGAATGCAGAAATGAAGCTACAGCCTGGAGTTTGCCAGAGCTGGGTAGGGCTGTTAAGGACAGGATATTCTGGAGGTTACTCATTCCTCGGGGTGCCGTAAGTCAGAGGTGACTTCATGGCACATAACAACAACATTGCACCTAAAAAAAAAAATTCATTTAACAACACTGGCCCAACTACACCCAGATACTTAGACCACCAGAGGTGAAAATGTCTGGCTGTGGGAGGGCTACTGTGGCCACTGAGCAGGTGCACGCTCCCTGGGCTGCTTTTGCATTCTTCCCCACCCCCATTTAGGGGTGGTTTGGCTTGTTTGTTTCCTTTGAATGATATTTTCTATTTCTGCAGCTCCCCATGCCAGCTCGAGCATGAATGATACTGATTAGCAAGAGCTATATGTATTTATTAATTTATTTAAAACATTTTTTTTAACCCAGACTTTCTTCTTAAAAAGATCCGAGGCAGTTATCACTAGGGCAGAGCCGCTGGAGTTCTGTCCCAGGGCATCACATTTTAGAGAACAACAAAATCTAGAAGGGCGTCCTCTGCTGGGTGTTAGGGAATAATCGGCAACCCCTTCCAGCCCTATTCACTTTATTTTATTTTATAAAAAAACACAAATGCCCTCTTCCTTCTTGGGGATACCACCGTCTCCCCATTTTTTCCAGGGGAGGTTCCTGCCCATGTCTCACAGCAAAATTGGCGGGAGATGGGGCTGTTTGCTCAGGGTGTCAAAACTGCTGGTTACAGCTCAGCTGATCCAGCCACACAAGGACTGGTGCACAGTGATCAGATATGATTTTTAGTAATATAGGATCTTGAACCCAGCTATATGATTGCAGGAACCCTCCATCCCTTCCCACTGATTGCTCTATGAGTTGAATTAGAAGGGCAACCTGAAACATGGCACAGTCACCCTCATGGGAATGTACCTCTCCACATTTGTGAATTTGTGCTTATCCGCAAAGCATCCTCATGTCAAAACCTTGCTGCATATAAGCTAGAACATCAGTACAAAGACTAGTTCTAAGAAGACTCAGAGGGAGTTAATTCTCTGTTGCTAGGGAATGGGGGCAGGGGAAGAATATCATGGGTTACGTTTTTTGCGTGTGCAATAAGGTCCAAATGAGATATTTCACATGTCAATAAGAAAAGCAGTCAGTTTAAAAATCTTGTATGTTTTTAACCCTGAACGATTAAAACTGTCCGTGAAATGATTCACTGCAACAAGCACTGGTGTGTTTTCTGGACGTGCCAAAAACCAGGGAATATTGTACACTTATGAAGCTTATTCAGCCCTTCAGTCATTTTTGTCTTCATGGCAACTCAAGATGAGCTGTAGAGACGGGTATGAATTGAGAGGGGGAGGTGGTTTTTTCATGATTTGTAATTTGTCAAGGTCGATTAATTACAAATGTACAATTTTTTTCTGACAAATCAATGGATTAATTCATTGATTTTTCTTGAGTTTAAAACCCTATAAAATGTCGCCCCAGGGACCTAGGGATACCAAAATTGCAGAGAAGCTTCCTCTGATTTTTCTCTGCAAGCTTTGCACGTTTACTGAAGATTAGTTTTCAGACAACTGAGTTATGCACCACAAAGTGGGTACCCCAGAAATGGTCCCTTTAGCAGCTAGCTTGAGGGAAGCCCAATCTTCACTAAACTTGGATTGTAGAGGAGAGTCAGGGAAGCTTCTCTGAAATTATGGTGTCTCTAGGTGCCTGGGAGTCCATTTTATTCATTTGTTGATGAATCAACAAATAAAAAATCATTAAAATTCATTGATTCTTATTTGTTGGGGGTGTTGCATCTGATTAATGCAAATTGGTGAATGAGCAATTTTTGATAAATTTTGCATTGTTGGGGGTGTTGCATCTGATTAATGCAAACTGCTGAACGAGCAATTTTTGATAAATTTTGCAATTTGTTTTTAACTCGTGCCCATCTCTAATCAGCTGCAAAGAAATAGATGCAGCTTTCCTGTGTACATGGGGAGCTCACAGAGACACCCCTCACAGTCATGTACCCCCATGCACAACACTATGAAGAAAGCCACAGCCAGTGGTAAAGCAGCCAATTGTGATGTTCAGACACTCCTCCTGGGCACATCCTGGTCTGTTCAAGTCTAATACAAAATACTCTCCAAGGTCCTGCAGGGAGATGTCATAATAATACATTGTTGCTTGGAAAGCAATCTTCCATCTCTCCACTTCAACCCCCATTTACTTGGAGGATAGCAGAATATGGTCAGAGAATAGAGGAAGTCTGCAGAAGAGTGGCAGATGATGTCATTATTCATGCCAGTAATAATTTTAAAAATCCAGTGACGGTCTTGACTTATCCACTGCAACACCAGCCACATGGTCAAGTAAAAGAACACTTCATTATTAAGCAGAACCTCTTGAGATTTATATGGCAAAGAGTTTGATTCTCTAAAAGACAGACGGAAGGAAGGAAGGAAGGAAGGAGCCTTGCCTAGTCATTGGTCTCACCTTAAATGTTTGTATCACTTCAGCTGGATAGGCTAAACCAACCATGCTAGAGGTCCTTCGGTACATTCTGAAAGAAAAGACAACTCAGTGAATGGCATCTGAAACTTAGTTATACTTATTCTTTTGGAACCGTTGGCCAAAGTCCAGGAGTAAATTGCAACCAGATTAGAACCAGTGAACCGATGGTGAGCTGAATCCAAGACTCCACTGATTCAATGGCCAATAGTTGCAATTTACTACTGGACTTAAGCCAATGTTAAATAAAGTTAAAAGAAATCCACTGATTCAATGGCCCTGCTCTAGTTGCGATTTACTACTGGACTTAAGCCAATGCTAAATAAAGTTAAATGAATTAAGAGGGTCTTACAATCATAGGAAAGGCAAGGGCCAAAGAAGAGGAAGATATTCTGCATTTATACCAGTCTCCCTTCAATAGCGTTTTATTACTGGATGACATATAACCTGACACATGTCCCTTTCAGGAGGGATAATAGTTTTAGCAAAAATGTTTTGCTCCTCCTTGCCTATTGGGGCTGCTGGGGTAGAAGGAGGCACAGCAGCTCTGGGATGATGGCAGCTTCTTGACTACTCCTTCCATCCTCTCCTTTCTCCCACCTCCTTCACACACAGAATGTGAGGCTAACGGTAGAGCAGGAGGAGATTGCAAGCAGGGCCCTGACCCCTTTTCGCCGGTAAGCAGCAAGGAAGGAGTGGGCTGGTTAGGAGCGGCCTCGCATGGGACAGCGCCTCCTGTGTCCCCATGGGCCACCTGCCACTCTTCTCCACACAGGTCCAAATTTTAGGCCCGTCCTCCACTTCCCCTTGCAAAGAAGAATAAAACAAACACCCATACCAGGAAATAAACAAGTTGTTGCTACTTTAAACAACACTTACTGTTTGCTTACTGCCTGTTATTCTCAGTTCCTTGTTACTCTTCTATGCATATATCAAATAATGCCAGTTGACTGTAAAGGGATGCCATGGCCATTGTCTTCATTGTGAACAAAAGTACTTACAGCAATAAGAGAATCATGTTCCTACACATGATTGCTCAAAGATAAGCCTCAATGAGTTCAGTGGGATACCCTTTCAGGTGAATGTGTACAGCAGGCTTTGCATTTTGTTAAAGCCTGCTTCCCTTAGCCCTTCCCAGGATGACCAAGGGCAAAGACTAATGGCAGTAGCCTTGCTTCAGTATCTGGTGAGCCAGAAGGCACCTTTCCTATTCCTGGTGTATAAGGTGGCAGCAGCTTTATAGGGCTATACAGTGAATGTCTACTTTGTAGTAGTAAGCCTCTACTGAGGCTGACACTGCTTAGTCCCCAGCAAGTAAGAATGCGTTTGTTAATCTTCTTAAAAATAATAACAACAACAAACCACATACTCCACCACTGGGATATCTTTGATAAGCATGACTCTCAAAGTTTGTATTCAGTTCCGCACTGATAGAATACAGCATGCACTTCAGTTTTTCATTCCCTTTCGAACCTGAAGTCAGAAGCATTTGAAATACTTCAGAGTTCGGACTTCTTGCTTCCTCTGCTGCCTGGCTAATGTTGCTTAAATTACAAATGTAATTGTTCTAAACCGATCATTCTTTTCATTATTAAACTATTACAACTGAAATGCGAAGAGTTGGATCCTATTATGATTAAAGCCAGGGAGCTCACCTTTCTACAAAAATCCCAGCTTGCACCGCATGCACAATGCTTCGGAATTTGGGTTTTTCCTCCGGCCTCCTTTTCGTCATCCCCATTTTCCTCGTGAAGGTAGAAGCCAACCAATCCCGTACTTCCAGGGGGACTGCATCGGACTGGATATCTGACAGTTCATCTTCAGTATCCAAGAGCCTCCTGAAAATGCATGTTTCATACACACGAATCAATTGAGAGAAACCATATCCTTCAGAGTATGAATGGGAGTGTAAGCACCAACTGATAACCAATGGGTAGCCACAGGTAAACAGAACTGTGGCTCGGTAACAACACAGCAAGGTTTTACATCACCTGGTTGTGGTACAGATGAACCACAAGAGCTCACAGGAGCACAGAAAGCAGCTTTATAACATCTAGCCCCAGGCAGAGTGAAGGGTCTGCCTCAGGACTTTGGGAGACATGGTACCGTAAGTTCTTTTGTTATTGGATTTTTACTGCCAGAGATGGGGACAGGTGAGGGGGTCTCCTGCCAAAATAACATGGTTTTGAGTATGGTACCCTTTGATTTCAGTGGGTGGGGATTCTGCCATTTGCTGGTCCACCTCAAAAAGCAACATCTCTCAAGTTGCTCCTGGCCAGGCCATAGATTTGCCTCACACAGACCGGCTGCAGTTCTCCAGGGTTTCCAACAGGGGGTTCACTGGTCTTTTCCAGGACTATCTGAAGATGCAAATGGATGAACTGGGGACTTTTTCTTTGCCAAGCACATGTTCTGCTGCCCAGTTACCAGTCAAGATGCTAGTCGGCAATATCAGGATTTCAAAAGGCATGCTTGCTCCTCGCAGTAAAGAGAAAGAAAAGTCAGAATTCTATTGCTGATATAGGTTTGCATAAGGGAAAAAAACATGTTAGATCATGATGGCAACTTGCTACTAACCAGTAATGTACTGGATGCACTCATGGACATACACCTGATGGTGTGAACAGAAGTGCATGCACAAACGCAACTAGCACCTTGCTAACGAGTGGTCACTTGCCACCATAACTTCCCCAGTTTCTCTTAATGCCAGCATAGCTTTCCAGTGGGATTCCGGCAAAAAAGGTACAGCCTCCCCTCTTTTATACAAATAATAGAAAATAATATTTCTGAAAGGATAAGTGGCAAATAATAAAAGAATAAATAATATCAAAATGTGGTTTAAAAGTAGACAATAAGAATAATAATACCAAAGCAGTAAAACATTAATATTTCAAATAGTACTGCCCTTTTTCTCAGGGAAAACATTTCCCTTAGAAAGTGAGGGAGATATATGTTAGCCAGAATTTGGCTTCTTGCTGCTGTGAACAATTTGCTTTCCTAGTTTGCTGCTTCTGGCTCCCGCAGACCTCCCTGGAGGAAGAGAAATATCACTCAGAAATGTGCATATGTTGGACCTGTGCGTGGATAATAAGAATTCTTTCAAGACTCCACTGATCCTTTCTCTCCTTTCAGTCGAACCGTACACTTGCGTAACTGCTTGCGCAGGCAGACTTTTCTCTGGGCACGGACTCCCCCTCCTCTGGTTAGGAATGGCAGGGGGCCCTTCCTCAACATTCTTTTGTCCAAAGAAATTAGGAGGGCAGGAGGGAGAAGCAGAGCCTTTTTTTTTCCACCAGGGTCCTGCTGAGTTTCTGGCAGAGGTGGAGGTAGGTGGAGGGAAGGGGGAGGTTGCAGCTGAAATTCAGCCACCTCTGCAAATCTATTAACTTTGAAAGGAAAGTGGTTTAAAAGTAATTGGACAATACTCTTCATTAGAAGTAGTAGGGAGTTCTGCTGCTGACGGGCTGTTGTTGTTCATTTGGGTGTCCCTGCCTTGTCCGTTTATTAGTGACCAAAGTGTTATGGCTTCTTTCCTTACAAGTCTTCTTGGAGGGGGGGGGACCTCTAATTAATAAGTAAAAGTGTGACCATCGGTACATTACATAGAATCATCTAAAAAATACAAATGAATGAGAAGGAGACTGGACAGCCTGGAGGGCTCACTTTTGGTCCATTCCCAGTGATCCTACACTATACGCTGGAAACAGACCAATGCAGAGCAATCCTACCCACACCAAAAATGTAGAAGCCCCTGACAGGAGCCCGAAAAGGTGTGGGCAGGGCTGCACTGGGGATGGTTTGGTTCGCTCCAGCAATGTGATCACTGGGGCGGGGGGGGGGGANNNNAACCATACAGTCTCTGGAGCAGACCAAACATCAGGACAGAGCCTGACTGAGCCCTCAGTTACTTCAAATATAAGCTGCACGACGATGGTAGGGTCTAAAAACAGCTGTTTGTGCCGCAAATGTTTTGAAAAACCCTGCTGGCCATGTTCTCCTCACAGCAACAAATGACTCAAGGTGACTCATGGGGATCTCCAGAGCCTACTCTCTCTGATGAGGTCTTCAGAGTGAAACCAGGCCCAGGCAGCTGCACCCGGGGAAACAATCCCATAATCTTTGGCTCTCAGGAAGGTCCCATTCAAGGGCTGGCTGGCTCTCTGACATCGCCTGCTCCCTCGTTGCTGGGAGGGACTAGTATGACATCCCATCCTATGCTCTGTGTTTCACTCTGCATAAGTCTTCAGAGCATCCCAAAGGATAAATAGCTGCAAAGGATGTATGAGGAACACTATGGGGGGGAAATCAATAGTTCTTCAGATAATGTCTTAGATTTTTTAAAAAGTGATTTATTCCACACAGCACTCACTCACTTCAAAATCAGACAAGGCCTTAAAAGACAAGGCCTTCCTCCAGCAGGATTTCCTTGAAGGCATCAGCTGTCAGATTTGGAAATTAAGCTATGTCCACCTCCTGATGACCAATCACAAAACAAAACATTTTAAATTCAAGAAATGCAGCTGAGGAAATGACAGATTATGAGGGTGCTGTTTGGTCCACTACAGGGACAGGCTGGTTCGCTTCTAAAGATGGCGATCAGATGATGTGTTTGCTGGAGCAAACCAGCTTGTCCTCACAGTGGTCCAACAGGTACTTTTCCGGCTTCTATCATTTTGGGTGGGTAAGGTTACTCTGTTTTGTTTTGCTTCCAGCACATGCAGTCACTGGAAATGAACCAAAGTGAATCTTCTTGTTTGAATTGCCAATATTGTGAAGCGGCTTAAGAAGAGAGTCACTTCAGGATACTGACAAATAAAGCACTTTCTCAGCTCCGTGGAAGCAGGCTGGGTCAGGCTAAACAGTCAATTGTTTGGAGGACTCAGAGGTTGGAAATAGCATTGGGGGGGGATAATAGTTCCCAAGCCAGCATAGCCCCAGGCTAAGAGATTCTGGGAATCCCAAGAAATAATGTTTCTACACAAGAGCCCCACCTAGCCCCTGCCTACTAAACCAACTGCTGTGTTTTTTGCCCCTTGTCTGCCTCTGTTTCCCAACCAGATGGGACTGGTGTAGAAGACTAAGACACTGTGTTCCTTACCTACTGGCTAGACAGCTACCAGGTTCTTGTGTCCATGGGAAACTCTACAAGAATGCCAGCTCTTTTTTATAAGTGAAACAGAAAATTTCACTGTGTAGGGATAATTTTTTAAAATGATATTAATCTTTTGTTTCTTACTTCTCTCCCTATCCTCATTTAAAAATGCATAGTTATAAAGAGAGGTTACTTACCTGTAACCCTAGTTCTTCAAGTGATCTTCTGTGAATCCACACAAATGGTTTTAGTGCACCTGCGCAGGACTTCTCAGAGTATTCTAGAGCTTAAAAAGATGTGATTAGTAAGACGTTGCCTCGTGGCGCACATGCTCTGCCCGCCCGTAATTCCTCAGTTCCAAAAATGTCCGCCACTGTCAAGGCTCTGACTGAAACAAAGCTCAAGACACTAAGTGACGGACAGTGGGGAGGATGGGCGGGATGGGCGGATTCACAGAGGACACTCGAAGAACTATGGTTACAGGTAAGTAACCTCTCTTTCTTCTTTGAGGCCTCTATGAATGCACACAAATGGGTGACTAGCAAGCTCACTTACTGGAAGGAGGGCCGTCACACCAACAATGAAGTCAGCACAGCCCTACCGAAACGTGCTTCTTTCTTGGCCCTGACATCCAGACGTCATGAAAGTCGAGGGAGTTGACCAAGTGGCCGCTTGACAAATGACAGGGACTTCAACGCCACGCAGCCAGGCAGTGGAAGTGGTGATTGCTCTTGTAGAGTGCGCTTTTAGCACATCTGGCAGAGTCTTGCCTGCTAAGTCATAAATACAGAATGGATGAGAAGAGAAATTTCGTCTTCTAGGGCAGGTGAGTAAGTTGTATGTCAGAAATAGCCGAGTGGAGGGAGGGAGGTGAGTTCTAACAGGTAGCTGTGTTGTATGACAGAGAGTACCCAAGAGACCTTGGTGATAATGGACCACTTGTTGAGAAAGGGGGTCAGACGGGGATGATGAGGACAGCCAGGGAACAGATTTGGAGGGATCAAGTCAAAGATATTGTTTAAATAAATAAATAAACCGCAGATCAAACTCGTCAAAGCGGTACCGATAGCGTTCACCACGTCGGCCGAGCACATAAACAGGCTCTTATATTCAGGAAGCAAGTGGCGTTGAGACGGATGTGGGACAAAGATTACCTCCTGATACTGAGAAGACAGGGAAACATGGTGCTGCTTCGCTGCCCTCTTACGCGGAGGGGATCGCGAGACCAATGCCTCTGAGTTCGAGAGATGGATGACAGTTGCTCACCCGGTCAAAACCCTGCTAGAATGGGCCGAGGCCAGGCTGGATGTGACATCAGCTTCAGAGCGGCCATGACTTGGAAACAAGCTCACCATCAATACTGAGGCTGGAGGTTGAGTAAGCAGTACTGACTCTCCCACTTCTGAAATGGAGTCCTGGTCTGGTATATCTCTAGACGACTCCTCCAAGATGGGAGACAAGAGGGAAATCTGAACCACCGGAGGCTCTCAAGGGTGGTGAGGCTTAGGAATCTGCTTAGCTTTCTTTTGCTTAGCCTTTTCCTTCTCCTTTGCTTCTTATCTGGTTGGGCTGTAGCCGAAGCCAAGGACAACTTTGCCACCGAGGTCGATGTCGATCCCGAGGGGGATTTCGGCTTGGAAGCCTTCATGGAGGCTTTCTGCGATGGAGTAATTGGAGCTGGTGGGTGAGAAGGCTCAGACCAAGGAATTGGAGTGGAGATAGGCCCCATCGTGGGGCTGGTTGGATGGCTTGAGGGTGTTAAGGATTTTTCCTACAAATGGGACCAAAGTCATTGCAGTTGGAGTTTAAGAGCCGGCTTTGTTAATTTTTTACACTCTGGACAGGAGAGGGTCTGGTGACTTTCGCCCAGGCAGAACAGTGAAAAGAATTTTATTGGCACACATCGTACAATGCTTGAATGGGCCTGAAGAGGCCACAAAAAAGGGGCAGGAAGGTGGGAAGGGGGGGAGACGAAAGAAAAATAACTCACAGGGAAACGTCCATAAATGAAAAACTGATCAGGTCCGTAATCCAGGAATTGAAAGGCAGTAAAAAAAACCATAAGATTGACAAAATCAGAAAATCTCTCTAGTAATTGCTACAGAAGTCCGATTTCAGCGGTGGCTAAAAGGAACTGAGGTACTACGGGCGGGCGGAGCATGTGCACCACGGGGCAACGTCCTACTAATCATGTCTTTTTAAGCTCTAGAACAGTGATGTCCAACCTTGGACCTCCAGATGTTCTTAAACTACAGCTCCCAGAAGCCCTCACCACCACCTCTGCTGGCCAGGATTTCTGGGAGTTGAAGTCCAAGAACATCTGGAGGGCCAAGGTTGGACACCACTGCTAGAATATTCCAAGAAGTCCTGCACATGTGCAGTAAAACCCATTTGTGTGCATTCGCAGAGGCCACGAAGAAGAACCTTTTCTTTCTTACTTTTGTCCCTCTACTCATTTTAAAATGCATAGTTATAAATTCAGACTAAACGCTTCTGTGCACTTCAGAGAATAGTTGGGATATAATCTTAATTTTAGGGGACATAGAAGGAGCCTCCTCAAAAAGTGAAAGGCTCAGGCTTCCCCTGGACAACAGCGTGGAGTGAGTCAATCCTTCACTTCCAGAAGCCTCGCACTGCAAACTTGCCAATGAACAATGTGACCTGACAGTCCTTGAAAGACTGTTGGATCAAATGACAATCATTTCTAACATTTTAGTTTGTATGTAATTTTTACCTATATTGCATGTATTGTATATTTATAATTTTAAACAGTGCAACACTCTGATACAAATGAAGACAGACTTTGATTTTAAGAAAAATGGAAATATAACTTATATTCATAGCAGCCTTAGTGATTGGAAAGAAGCTAGTTATGACTGTATGCAACAGCAGATCATTCAAAGTCTTTGGAAACAGGGTCCTCCGATTTCTAACATGAGTGGGTTAAAGTCCTGCACACAATGCCAGGCCAAAGCCCTCAGGTCCAAAACTAGGCCTTAGCCCATTAATGGAGACGGAATCCAGATGAGCATAATCCATCTGCATGTAACACCCAGATACAGATATGGTTACAGTCACAAACTTTAAATGTATTTATTTTTAATCAAAGAAAGATTGAAGTTAGGAGGCCTTTTGAATTGGATGCCCTGGATATCTCAATTTTGCCTGCCCCCAGCCAAAACTCCAGTAACAGGAAAAATATAATCAAGCCATATTGATTTTTCCACTAAAAGCTATTACTTTCTAAAAAAGTGGGAAACAGATGTATTAAACACATAATGGGTTCTGGACTAGTCAAGGAAATTAATTGTCACCTATTTTTATTTTGCTGCTGGGACGCTTCACCCTTGTCACACAGTCCATGGGTTCGTCCAGGCAATCTTATTCCAAATGTCCCCCTGCTATATCTTTTGGAGGTCCTGACTGACAATGCAAAACAATATACTAGTTCATTAAGTATAGATTTATGGCAGTGACGTGGAGTTAAACTCTTGGACTAGGACTCAGGAGACCTAGGATATAAATCAGTATGTCCCAGCTATGTCGTGTGGAGGGTAAAGGATAGTGGTTGGACCTGTCCGACACGTTGTTTCTTTCTAATTGAAAGGTGGCCATAGCTGCTTATAAATGAGCATTTGCTGTTAGGATATGCTCTGAAGCAAGCCTGCACTGCAGCAGTTTTCTCTGGTCCTTTTTTGAACCCTCAAATTACATTTACATACTCTACATCTGATTGTATAGTGTTGACTTAATATAACAAGAAATAAGATTTAAGATTAATAGATTCATAGATTAATATGTTATGAATCAACATGTAAATATTATACTGTATTCGGTTTAGGCCCCTTTAGGTTATATCAGGCAGGAAAAGAAGATTTTGTTCTATATAGACAGATCTATTATGTTAATAGATTCTTGAACAACTCTTAGCTGCAGTGTTGTGCCCGATTTATATTAGGATGTCAGGCACTAGCAGTTGGCCAGAGTATAGGTGACACATATGACAAGTGGCAGCTGGAGCAGGGTGCAAAATATGTATATCTCTCCCTGACAGGACACTGGCGGGAGATGGAAGCATCAGGCATAGGACAGCACACAAAGGCAGGATACAGGTGGTCCATGTTGAATGCGGCTGTGATGGAGGGCAGTCACACAGCTCCCAAATTCAAGAGGCTCCGAAGGACATGCTGCAGCAGAGGAGTTTAGCTACAGAAAGACAAAGTCTGTTAGTTACAGGCAATGGGGCCAACATGGTGGCAGCACTGCAGGCTGTGAAGATGAAAGGGGTGTGGTGTGTGTCGCCCTCACTCTCAACCTAGTAGTTTGGGGTGCTTTGCGGGGTATGGAAGACACATGGATACCGAATAGAATGGAGTGGGCCTGAAAGATGGCAGGGCCTTTTCACCATAGTGTCTGGGGCAGTGAGCTACTGCAGCGGAGGCAAGACAAATGGGGATTGCCACTGCACCATCTAATCCAGGATGTGGCAACTCGAGGGACCTCCACATCTTCCTGCATGAAAGAGTGCTGGAGCAGCAAAGAGCACCCCATGATCTGGCACCGGAGACTTCCATTAGTGCTCCTCTGGGCACAGAAGAGCAGGAAGCGATGGGTCAAAGGGTCTAGGTCTTCCGAAGCTTTTCTTCTGCCCTGAAGTGGTTGCCCTCACAAACTAGTAAAGGACCGGCTCCGCTACAGGTTTGCCTCCTTGGAGGAGGAGGAGGAGGACCTTCAAGTAGCCTTCTTGGATCCCCAAATTAAACAACAGGCAATGGATATTAAACAGCAGCAAGAGGGGAGGCAAGGCCAGCCAACTCTCAATCTCATGCAGCAGTAGAGAGCAGAGAAGATCCAGCAGCACTGAGGAAGGGGTCGCAACACAGGAGCAATGTCCATGGCACCCCAAACAGCAGCACCAGAAGTTGCATTCTGGAGTCCTTCATCCCTGCAACAACAGGGCAAGCTTTCTCAGACTCTGTCTGGACAAGCATGGCAGGGGCCTTTCCACCAGAGGGACCACTCCAGAGGAAGGACCTGGCAGAGGCAAAGGTGAAGATGTAGGAGTCCTGCAAGCCAAATGAGTCTGACACCCCCTCTCGTCTTCCTGGGCTGAGAAGGAGTCTGTTTGGGGAGGTCTGGCCAAGGCGGCAGCAGGACTGCTCTCTTGCCCACCAACTAGTGTGCCCAGTGAGAGTCCATGTTCTCTCAGGGAGAGGGCATTGTCAGTCCCCACCACTCACATCTGGAACCTGGATCTGTTAAAAAAACACTGGTCCTCTCTGAAGTCCCCTTGATGTAAAAGAGAACGGCCCACTCTGCTCACCGGACAAGGAAGGCCATGCTTCAGTCTGGTTCCCCCTCCTTCTGCCTCTTTCCTTCTTCCGCCAGATGCTCCAAGCTTGCGCTCACTCACTCAACTGTGCCATGAGCTGTGGGCGCAATTCCCACCCACTACAGGCTACCTGATGCTCTAACCTGCCTGCCAGGGCTGCCCAGGGTATTTGCCCACTCCCCAGGGTGACTTCTCCTCTGTTTCCCCAACGCTGCTGGCATTTCCTGCTGGCCTTCCCACTTTTCTGGATTCAGTCAGGATGCCCTATTACAGTCATTTCCTAATGCCAAGGCCCTGCTGGCTGCTGACGTGCAATCTGTTTGGCACATTCACTAAAAGGGTTTCAGAGGACACAGGAAAATCCTTTTAAAACATGCCTGTTTGTATTTTTAAAAGGAGGAGGGGGAAATAATGACTATATAGTATTCATATATACTAGAACAGGGTTCCAGATATCCAGAAATTCTAAATTTTTAAAATTCTGAATCCAAAGGGTTGCAATTCTGAATTCCAAATCCACATTTTGAATTTGAATTTTGGTGTCAGTGCACATCCCTAATTACATATAACTTATCAATTTGGTTTGAGGAATGTATTGGAAGTCTATCCTAGGCCTGTGTTGTGTATACTGTAGTTGGATATGCTTTCCATTGCTGCCTGAACAACCATTCTTATTGCTGAAGAAAAAAAAAGTTGAAATCTGCATGTTACAGAAATGCAAGTATCTTGACAAATGTTGCTCTTTAACTGGTGATTCTTAAAATTGTGGGGTGTCAAGCAAACCGTTTAAAAATACCAATGCAGCAAGAGAATTTGAGGACATCTATATGTGAGGATTATTTGTTTGTTTGTTTGTTTGTTTGTTTGCCTTTTATACCGCCCCTCTAGATAAATCTACTCAGGGCGGATGACATTTGAACATTAACTTAGAAGAGTGGTTAGCTTTGAAATTTATTTGCAGGGCCAGCATTTTGAAACTTTATTATCCTGGGCTTCTTACATTCTCTACAGTCAACAATAAACTTAAACATTCATCACATATCTGACACTTATCACATCAGCAGCAGCAGGAGAACATTTATAAAAAATACTAGATAATAACAGAACATTTCTCTGACCAGCTATTGCCCAGAATCATCCAGAGGAAACTGTGAGAAATGTTTCATTCAAAAGTCTTTTCCGAATTCTTGAATTTGTTTTTTAATAGTTCCAGTCTACAGTAATAAAACTAGTTCATGGACACTGGGAACTTTCCAGGTCAGTGCAAAATATTACATTTCAGTCCATGGAAAAGATTAAAAAGATCTGGGGTGTTGCTTTTAAGTCATGTACATTCTGAGCGTAAACCAAATTACTTGGAAGTTAAATCGACTGATGTCAACAGCATTTGTTGCCAGTAAAAATTCTCAGAGTGTAGCATAAAAGAATCCCTCTGGATAAATGTGGTGCACCTGTTCCAATTTAGAATGAGTTTCATGGTGCACTGAGTGTGAATTTCCAAAATCAATTATTAAGGGAAATGTTAAGAGGAACTCAGAAACCTGTCATTTTGCCATGCTCCCTCATTCTTATAAATACACATTCTCTACAAAGACATACAGTTACTGGAAGAAAGAAAGAAAAAAGACTTCTTATATTCAGAAGACTTTTACAAGGTCTTCTCATTTTCTCAGGGTAAACCCAAGACATGTTGATGCCTGAAACAAGAGATGGGACAATGTAACGTTTTTGAACCGCAACTCCCAGAATCCTCTAGCTAGGGATTTTTCCAAGTTTTCATCCAAAATGTAACCTCCATTTGCTCCATGGAACATGAGATTTTCTAACATGAATTACTCCTGTTTTAACTAAGAGATATTTAAATGCTTTTTTCTAACTGCATTCTTTCTTTGTTTAACTATGATTCAGCATCTATACTATTCTTTTAAAAATGTACCTACTTTTAAAAAAATGACATTCTCTCTCCCTCCCTCCCTCCCTCTCTCTCCCTCTCCCTCTCAGGAATCTTTTAAAAATGTACCTACTTTTAAAAAATGACATTCTCTCTCCCTCCATCCCTCCCTCCCTCTCCCTCTCCCCCTCTCTCTCAGGAGATGTTGAGTGTGGTGAGCTGTCACTCTGGCGCCGGGCCAAAAAGAGCAGATAGCATGATGTAACTTCTGGATCCTTTCAGCCAAGAGAAAGATCCTGGCTCTGTTGGAGTCCAGAACTGCGCCAGTATAGTCCATGGTCTGAAATGGTATGAGATGGGATTTCGTTACATTGACTTGAAGGCCTCAATCTTCCAGCATTTGCAGCATGAAAGACATGTCCTCTTGTGCCTTGGCATAAGAGCCAGTGACGATCAACCAGCCATCTATATATGGGAAAACCATGATGTTGTTGAGACAAAGGTAGGCTGCTACTGGAGCTAGGCACTTCGTGAAAGTCCTTGGGGCAATGGCAAGGCCAAAGGGGAGAGCGCAGAATTGATACACTGATTCCATGAAAATAAATCTGAGATATTTGTGGTGATACTCCTAGATGGTAATGTGAAAGTAAGCGTCCTGCAAGTTTATCATGATGAACCAATCGCCCGGAGGAAGAAGAGGCATGATGAACTCTAAGGTGACCATACGGAACCATTGGTGATGAAGGTAAGTGCTGAGACACCTGAGATCGTAGACTTCCATCCTTCTTGGGGACCATGAAATATCGGGAGTAGAAGCCATCAAGTGCTTCCTGAGAAGTAATGCATTGAATGGCATGTTTCTGAAGAAAAACAGAGACTTCTTCTTGCAGAGCAGGTGAGTAAGAAGTGATCTTGAGATGACCGAGAGGAGGAAGATCTAAGAACTCTAGCAGATAACCAAAACGTATGATGGTGAGCACCCTAGTGTCCGTGACGATGTTGGTCCACTTGTTGAAAAATGGGGCTAGCTGGGGAACGTAAGATGGATTGGATTGATTGATAAATCAGTAGAGGACAGTCAAAGGTATTGCTTGCCCTTCTTGACAGGGCGACAGAAAATTTGGTGGCGCTGATTGGAAGCCTGAGGTTTGAAGGACATGGCAGTAGAAGATGGAGGCTGATTTGGTCTGTCCTGAGGAGGTTTATAGTAATGGTAAGGTTGTTGATAAGGTTGGTATGATTGATAATATGATTGCTGTGATGTAAATCGTTTACGCCATTGCTGTCACTGGTACCTAGGCTGTTGGACAGAATAAGACCGCACTGTTTTTCTAATTTTATGCAGGTTTTCCATCACCTCGTTGGTCTTCTCATTGAACAGACCAGCACCATTGAACGGAAGCTCTTCAATCCGTGCTCTGGCATCATTGTTGATGCCTGCTGAACGTAGCCAGGCATGTCTGTGGAGGGCAATGGCTGATGTCATCGCCTTGGAAGCCACGTCTGCAGTGTGCCTCAATACCAAGCATTGTTGTTTGTGAGTGTTGTTGCCTCCAAATGTGTGTTGAGGGCCATGGTTCTGGTTTGTCAGGGGCTGCTTGAAGAATGGACAAGATCTTAATCCATAGTTGCCTTTGATAGGCACCCATGGCCGCTTGATAACTGGAGACCCTCATCACAAAGGATGTGAGTGAATACGGGCAACAGCCAAGTACATCCAACTTATGACCCTCTCTGCTAGTAGGGGTCACCTTAGATCGATTACCTCTCCCGACTAGATTGATTACCTCTCTCGATTGGACAGTTATGGAGTTTGGAGCCAGGTATTTACTCAGAAATGATGTTTCATTGCCATGTGTCCTATAGTGATTCTCACTCTTCTTGAAACCTGTTAAGATGTTTGTGGTTGAGTCCATGATGTCTTGATGAGCTCTAACTTAGAAGGAATAAACTTAAGTCTAGCCTTTCGAAGGTTAAACTGAAAGGCTGTTATTTGTCTTGATTTATGTCATCAAATACTAAATCTTGCTTGGGGGGAGGAGGTGGATCAATGTCCAATTCCAGTGACTTTGCCATTTGGAGTATTAATTGTGCATATGATGTGAAGTCTTCCGAAGGGGATGGGAGGTGTATGTCAGCGACATTCGAGTCTGGCGTAGGCAAATTAGAAGGAGATTCTCTAGACCCTTCTGAATGTTGATCTTGGTCAGATCCAGACGACACCGACGAGCCTACGGACTCCCTGTCAATAGATAGAGGGTGTGATGGTGAGCGTCTGCGTGATCTTGATGCTGAGGCAGAGACTCATGGCATCGGTACTGACACTTCAACATCAGGCGGTCAAATTACTCTTGACAGCACATGACAGGATACCCGAGAATGGGACGGTCTGGGATGCTCTAGTTGTGGTGTCGGTATCGACAGTACTCGAGATTGCTTCTCCCTGGGAATTGATATTCCTCTTGAGAATGGCACTTGGAAGCAGGCTTCGTGGCCACTGGTTCCATCTCGACACAGGCTCGGTGTCGACACCAAGGAGGAGATGGAAAAAGAGATGGCACCAAACAGGCGTAGATATAACGCACCCTCTTGGGTTTAACGTAGTCCTCTGCGTCGAAGTCATATCCTTGATATCGATGTCGATATTCATGTCGATCTACTTCCACATACAGTGGCTCAACATACTCGGCAGCAGTCTGATGCCAAGATGGACATGGGATCACGATTACATCTCAATATGTTTCCGTGGAGATTGACTTAGTAACATCTCTGACTCCAACACCTGAGCCACCGTTGCCTGCCCGATGAATATGGAACTAGAATGGGCTGAGGCTGGGCTGGAAATGATCTCAGCCTCCGAAAGGCCATGGCTAGGTGAAATGCTCAGAATTGATCCCAATGCCTGCTGATGATCCTCTCCCTCAGACAGCGAGTCGGGATCGTGGAGTTCCCTTGATGAGTCCTCCAGGATAGGCAAGGGCAAAGTGACTCTCACTGGGGAAGGTTCCCTCAGTTAAACTGTCTTATGAATCTGTTTCCCCTTCTTATGTTTTGACACCTCTTTCTTCTTTTTCCAGTCTTTACTAGACTGTGTCTTTGGTGTCGATGTCAATCCTGACATCGAAGTTTTCTTTGTTTTAGAGACTTTAGATGATGCTTTGGAGGAAGGAGTAGCCGGCATCGGTGAAGCAGTAGAGTCAGTTTGAGGAGTAAGGGGAGCAGTAGGAATGGTAGAATTCATTTCTGTCGAGCCCAAAGGTGTCAGAGACAGTAACGGAGTCTTTGCAGCTGAAGTTTTAAGGCAGGCTTGGTAAGCTTTTTGCAAGCCTGACAAGAATTGGGCTGATGTCTCCCCCTAAACAAAATAAACAGCAGTCGTGGCCGTCCGAGAAGAGGATTTTATTTGCACATGACTTGCACCATTTGAATGGCCCTGAAGAGGTGATAAAATTTGGCGGGAACCAAGAACAATACCAACAAGGGACAAACTCACAGGAAATGATACTGATAGCAGTCCTGATCAAGCTGTAGATATCAATCCAATAGAAAATCAAGGAATTAGAAATTGAAATCCAAAGCCAGAATGATAATCAGTCCAAGAGTCAAGCCAAATAATCACAGAAGCCAAATCATGATAAAAGCGAAATCAAAGGTCAAAACAGTCCGAGTCAATAAACTAGATGAAGATTGTAGTCCAAAAACAGTCCGAGGTAAAACCAAAGATTTTTAAAATGAAAAATAAGCTCTAAGCAAATCGAAGCATTTTGTTCGCAGCAGCGGCAAAAAGGAACCGAGGCAGAGCATGTGCGATACAGGGAGACATTTCACTTGTCATTATTTAAGCTCTAGAATATTCTGAAGAGTCCTGCGCAGGTGCAGTTTAACTCATTGCTGTGCATTCACAGAGACCACGAAGAAGAAACTCCTGTTTTTGCATTGGGTTTGGCATGCTTGAAAGAGATCTAAAAATCTACAGCAACACAACACAGAGATAAGTGTGCATTTTTTCAGCCAGGAAAAGTTTTTTTTTTTTAAATATCCTTGTAGGGGGCTGTTTAATTTAAATAAATTCTGGTCTTTTAAAAACCAGACCTCCCCTCCACTTGCTAAGCCCCACTTAGATTTCTTAATTTTGGGTTAGAAAAGTGGTGGCGTCTTATACACAGAAAAATACGGTATATTAGCAAAATGAAATATGAAAATATGCAAGGAGCCTGGGGACAGGTTGCTACTTCTGATGTTGTCACCCCCACAGTTGCACTAAATATCATGACTCTTGTTCCTTCGACATACTCCCTGGGAACGTCCCCTTGCCAGAAGACAGGACTGTGCTCTCCCTCTCAGCTTCAGGGAGCTCCAGGCAGTTGGAGAAAATGGGGTGACTGGTCTCCAGTGCAAGGAAGAGCTGCCACCTCCTACCCACCCTTTCCCTAGCCTGAGAGAAGCCTTCATCAGGTGGATGACCGGGAGACACTCCTCTCCCCGTGTACATAGAACATATGGACAAGTCATAGGGGTGCAGGTCTTCCTAGGCCACCATCTATGAGGACATGCACAGGGACACAAAAACAATATGACATTATATCTATTTCTTAAAAAACAAAAAATAAATGAGCCCCAGATTTAATTCGTAGTTGTGACCTCAGTCAAGACATGAGAAGACCAGATGGCTTTTTCAAGCATAGCAGATCACTTTTGCAATGCTTAGCCACGGGAAGCCACTGAATGTTGTCTTCTTTCTCTTTTTCAGCACCAGATCAAGTAATTTTCTTGATTTGCTCAGGCGTTTCAAATGTGTGCTGCTTTATGCTGGCATTTTTAATTTGCTCTCTGGGATTTGGTGTAGATGGCTATTTTATAGTGTTTCATGTTTTTCTTCCTCTAAATTACTTGGATTATTTGTTAGTAGGAAGGATAACAGTTAACTTTAAGAAACAGCTAAAAATATTGGGGAAAGTTCTGAAGGGAAAACAGCAAACCATAATGAGTTTGTCAAACTTTTTCTGAAATTAGGACAGATTCTCTGTCCTTCTTCTGAGTAGCTGGCACCAGTTACAGAAAAGATTTTGCAATTTGCTGATGGATGGATTTCTGGACAAGCTAGATGTGACATTTATTGCAGAAATTAAGTTAATGAGCACAGATTTTGTTATATGTATAGCACTGGGGGAGGGAAAAGCACTGCATGCTTTCCTCTGTACTGTACTGCCCCCCACCAAAGTTGCCTCTCCTCTCCCCACTGCTATATATACTGGGAGAGAAACCTATCTTGGAGCCAAAGGGAGCTTCTCCCCAAAATGTAAACAGGGCCTTTCAGAGTCCGTCAATTTTAGCTCCCAGAATTTCCCCATATTCCTTTGTGCAGAATTCTGGTAGATGCCAGAAGTTTACAGAAACCAGAAGTTTACAGAAACCAGAGGTTTACAGAGCAGTTTTCCATACCTATCTCCAGGCCTCCATTGCTATGTATTTACTTTCAAAAATGAGGAAACTGACCCAGTGCCCCCTGGGAATCACATGGTCTTTAGAAGAATCCCTCTATAGAGCTTAATAAGAAGGGAGGCTCCTCCTCCTATGAGGACTTGTGACTCCCATGAATCTCCATGAATTCTGGGAGTCTGGATCCAAAGTACTGTATCTGAAAGCCCCATCCCTAAACATAGCCATGTTAGAATATGCCAAAGTTCTTGTCTAACAGAAAGCATTAGAGAGACAGTGTTGTGCAACGGCTGGAGTTTTAGACTGGTGTTACATGAAAGAACCAAGTGCAAGTCCCCACTGGCCCATGAAACACTCTTGGGCCAATCACTCTCTAAGCCTGACTCTGCCGTCCCTCACAATATTGTTGTAGGTTTACAACGGGGAGGAGTAGAAGGAAAATAAGTATGTTACCTGGACCTCATTAGAGTCAGATTTAAGAAATAAAACAATAACTAAGATGGAGTAAATGATAAATAGTTTTGGGTAATGTTCTATTTCTATTTCATTTCTCAATAGAGGAGGTAGGGCATGCTTTTTTGTTCCCTAGCTATTACTGCCAGACCTTTAATGCTTTAGAATGGACATATAAACAATAAAGTCACACAACATACGTATATATCACACCTAATATAACAAGTCTGACTTCCTGGAATTATGCAGATGCTGGACATTAAATTTAATAAGGAAATAAAACCGGAAACACACATCCAAGTGATATTGAAGATTTGGCAGTTATGCTGAAGAGCACATTTAATTCAGAATAAAATGTTTAAAAAATCAAGACAGTGAAATATAAACCTTAAATAAACACACTGGAAATTGTTCTTGCACTAGATACAGTTTCATTTGCAAAGCAATCCTAAAAATTCACCCAAGCATTAAAAAAGTGGAAGACTTGAAATTAGCCATGAAGTTATTTCAATAACCATATTATTCAGTTCGGTTAAAAGGAGAATATTTGTATTTATAACAATAAACAAAGATGATTTCTCACAGATGTAACAGGGGACTGATCAGAATGATCAGTGTAACTGAACCACACAAAATACAACCCCCTTCTCCGACAACCATCCTATTTCTTTCAAACTGAGAATAAGAAAGGGCACTATGTAGGGTGGATATGACTGCTTTGAATTTTGTTACTTTTTTTTGTTATAAAAGAATCCACAGGTCCCTAAGCTGCCTGATTCTTACAAAACACCCAAAATGGGCAGTAGACTACGCCAGGTGTGAAATGGCCAAGGCAAATCCATTCCACTGGATATCTTGGGGGAAAGTATTTAGAAAAACAGCTTCTCTTTCCATATTGAACCGTGGGGGGGGATGCCCCCAACTCCCATACTCATTGGCAAGGTTTGGGCTGTGACAGTTGCTCTATCGTGGGATTTTTTCATCCAGTAGCACTGGCTATAATTTCTTTGGCCTGACTATAATTTCTTTGCACCCTGCTCTTTTTCTTACTAGGATTTATTAACCCCAAGAAAAAAATGCAATTAATGTGAAGAATTTCTCTGATAGAAGAGCAATATGTCAACACACATTTCATTAGCCAATATTACCTGAAGCACTCATTCAGAACATAACTACAGTGGTGCCTCGCTCAACGAGCACCCCGGTTAACGACGAAATTGCATAGCGATGTTTTTTGCGATCGCAAAAGTGATCGCATTGCAATGATTTAGATGGGAAAATATTGCTTTGCGATGATCGGTAAGCTGATTCGCTTACTGATTTTCGCATAGCAATGTTTTCCCAACAGCTGATCGGCGGTTCCAAAATGGCCACCGGGTAAAAAACATGGCCACCCGCTGTGTTTTGGGGCAGATTCCTCGCATACCGGGCAGCGAAAATGGCCGCCGTATGGATGATTTTCACTTAAAGGTAAGTTTTTTGCCCATAGGAACACATTGAAGGGGTTTCAATGCATTCCTATGGGCTTTTAAAAATCGCTTAGTGATGTTTTTGGTTAGCGCCGATTTTTGCTGCACCAATTAACACCGCTAAGCCAGGCACCACTGTACCAGTTTTCCTTAAATAAATGTAACTACGTACACAATCACTACTACAAAGACTACATTTATTTGTTTGTTTGTATGTTTGTTTATTAGTGTCTCCTTTTACTCTGTTCCTGATCCTTGGAAATGATAAACTAATCAAAATGTGAGCATGAATCTGGGTCTGTTTCAAAGTTAACTTATTTTCGAAAACTACTAACCTTTGGCCAATGTCTGCTGTATAGAATAGGTTAAACTGAAATGTCTTTCTCAGCAGGCCAAAGGTCGGAGGAAAGCGCAGATGGATAGTATCTCTGGGCCATTTGGCCAATCACCTCATGTTCTGAAGACTTACCTCGTTTCATCGATGTATACGGCCTCCAACACAGAAGCTGCATATTCGATATTCTTCTTCAGATCCACGACATTGACGTCACCTTTCTCCAGCTGCTTCACTAAACATCTTAATCTGTAAAAAATAAATATAGAAATTATGGCAAAGAAAATCAACAGCCCTTTCCTCGGGATGCATTTGTGTCCTGTTAAAATGACTGGAAGAGTTACCTTCCATGAAAGGTGGTTCGCAACTTAATTGAAAAATTCTTGACACAGACAGATTGCAAGCCCTAAGCATGCTATGCGCAAAAGGAAATGAGAACTGCATGCAGACCAGTCATCTCTATTTGTCTCTCCATGTATTCAGAGAAAGTGCCTCCACAAGTTCTCAAAATGTCTGGAAAAAAGAGCCAGGAATGTGCAAAAATGGACAAATAGCTGAGTAGAGCTATAGGCCTGTCTAGGCACAAAGCCATGTTCAAAGGAACAACCAAGGAAGCGGAACCAGAGCTTATGTTTTAGGACTATAGTTCCCAGAATTCCTCAGTCAACTGGCTTGGAGGCTTATCACTATGCTGCCTTAGGCCATGGCAGCTGAAGGACTCTGGGAGTTGTAGTCTAAAGATGTAATGCTTTAAAAAAAATGAAGAAACTCTACCTCTTTCTTTTGAAAAATGTTCTCTCTTTATTTATGGTTCATAACCTACATTACACATGTTATCCTGCATGCACATCCTCAAATCTTTCCTTCTCTAAAATTATTTTTATAAGTATAAAAAATTGCTTTAGACCTTAAAGCCGAAATTAAGTATATGTACAAGCAGCTCAAACAGCCAACTCATCAAAATGTTGGAAAGTGAGCACAAAGCCAAGTGGCATGAACTGGGATTTGGCCTAATAGCAGTCTCCTGAGTGATCACTTCCATAGGGGAGATGTGTGATCAGAGGTATGTCCTCACCCTAGATTTTGGAGTGAGGTCTCCCCCTGCTTCATAAGCTGCACTTGTTTCCTTCTCTTCAAGAGCTACAGCGATAGCGCTCTAGTCCAATGGCACTCCAGCACTCTAAAATACCAAATAATCCTCACTCAGAGGACTGCAACTTCAAAAGCATCCCTGTGCCTTCTGACTTTCGGAAATAAATAAAAAAGAGCCTCGTGGCGTGGTGGTTAAACCGCTGTACTGCAGCTAAAACTGTGCTCACGACCTGGGGTTCAAATCCCAGGTAGCCGGCTCAAGGTTGACTCAGCCTTCCATCCTTCCGAGGTCGGTAAAATGAGTACCCATCTTGCTGGGGGGGGCAATGTGTAGCCTGTATAATTAAAATTGTAAACCACCCGGAGAGTGCTTGTAGCGCTATGGGGCGGTATATAAGTCCAATAAATAAATAAATAAATAAATAAATCCTGGGAATACATTAAGATTGTTAACAGTATATTTGTAAAAACCCTGTGTAATTTCAAAATACATCAGCAATATTCGAAAGCAAAATCTGACACCAAAACTTTGAATCTTAAAAACCACCGAGTCTGAAAACCACGGAGTTAAAAGCAAAGAAGGCCAGTTATTTGGCCAAAGGAAGGAAGGAAGGAAGACTTTAGTCATAGGACTCAATAGCGTGAGAAAAAACGTCATCAATTGATGTCAATATACCTTTGGATTATTTCTTGGTGGTGCAGAAAAGCATTGGTGGTGTGATCCCATGAGATGGGGAACATGGGGAAGCTTTGCCACTTGCTAAAGCCCTCAGTTTTTCTTGCTATATTTTATATTTTTTTATTATTGATTATTCATAGAAGAGCCCGGTTAAGAGATCCTTCTATACAGCAGAGTAGCTGCATCAGAGTTTCCTGTAGGCATTTGAACCCACCTTGTTCATCTGTTTTCTGGAGCAATAAACCAAGCGGAGGCTGAGCTTAAGAGGGAGTTGTTCACAGTTTGAAAGGAAGAAGAGACAGCCAATTGGAAAGGAGAGATCCACGCTGCACTACTTCCAAGTGACATTTGTCATTGCCAAGTAAACATGGGCATGTAGCTGTGAATAGAGATGGGCATGAACCAAAAAATGAAGCAGGAAGTTCATGGAAAATCGCTGTTTTGTTTTGTTTTACTTCGGTTCTTCCAAATTGGAGAACCTGACCCGACCCACAAACATTTTTAGCATCTTCTCGAACTTCCTGGTTCATTCTCTCCCACAGCCTGCCCTCATCTCCTTCCCTCTGCGCCTGTTGCCTCCCTACATTTTGCTGCCACCTCCCCCTTCCGTTACCACCACTGCCATCTTGAGTGGCAGCCTGACCAGCGGGCCTCAGCCTGGGTGTCTGGTGGAGGGGGCTGTGGAAAGAGGGCAGTGGGTTAGTTTTTCTTTTTAAAAGGGACAGACGTTTTAAAAAATTGAACCGGTTCATGGTTCATTTTTTTAAAAAAGTTCAGATGGTTCATGGGTTGCCACGAAACAGCACAAACGAGAGTTTTTGTGGTTCATGCCCATCTCTAGCTGTGAGGAAATCCTGATCGCAGGGAGCGGGGGGAGGGCAGCTTACGTAAGGGGAACATGCTCTGACCTTTAGGGACATTCTGTCCAGGGATGTGAAGCTGGCTCTGATTTCAGAGATTTCACAGCAGCAGGACAAAACTTTCTTAGTTGCTAGAACACTGCCATTGGTTTATTGTGCTGCATCCAGTTTTATTTTTTTACTTTTTGTTATATGAAGGATAGCCAAACATCAACTTTTTTAAAAAAAAATCATTACTGTACACCACCCTGACATCTGTCAAAATGGAGAGCAATCTAGATTTTTTTAAAAAATAAATAAAATTACATAGCTACATGTTCCACTCTCTCAACACTTAAAAAAAAAAAAAAAACAGCCAGGATTTTTGCTGTAAGTCCTACCAGAGAGAAGGAGAAATTGAATCGGGTTGGGAGGGGAGGGAAAGGCCAGGAACAATTTCATTATCACTTGGAAGGCTACTTTTCTGCTCTTCCTCTCAAGCTAATACCAAATACGTTTTCGGATAAAGAGATGAATTTTAAATGAGATCCAGCATTAGTAGCCATTTAATTTCCTTTGAGAAAATTAGTTTTACATGTCTGCCTCTTGTGTGAGAAATTAAGCTACACTGGCATTCTCCCTTAGGCATAATTCAGTGCCTACCTATAAAATAATAATTAATTGAAAATAATGAGGTCCCAAGGTCCATCCTGTAAGACTCTGGCAGGCTTTCATTCAATATTTTATATACTGTAGCTTGATCCAGTTTGAGAGATGTGCTATTTATAAAAAGCTATCAAACCATTCTTAATACTGAGACACTGAGTGTTGGAGGTACTACTAAAGGAAGCTCCAGGTCTGAACTGTGGGAGGCAGGGCACTTCACCACAAAATTTCACGGTAAGGCACATGTGTGCGTGCATACACAGGCACTCACACACATCATTGGCCATCTAGGAGTGTCACAGCACTGAAGTACCCCAGTATTGTTAACTGCCTGGATTAATCAGCATGGAGGGTTTGAGGGTTAGGTTTTGAGAACTGCTTGGAGTACAAGCCTGCCAACCAGATTGCCTCCACTTTGCTGTTCATGAATGGTCCTTCCCATTTACTTCAGGAGTAGGGCCCACAAAAGGTGTGGGTTTTTTGCCACTGGAGGCAGCGAAGGCTAGCCGTCCTGTTAGGCAGCTACCTCAAGCCACGCCGTCGTCGTTTAGTCGTGTCCGACTCTTCGTGACCCCATGGACCAGAGCACGCTAGGCCCTCCTATCTCCTTTTTTTTCCAGATTTTTTTTTTTAAAAAAAAATTAACATAAGGGGTGACAAAGGAAAAAGGGCCTCCTATCTTCCACTGCCTCCTGGAGTTGGGTCAAATTCATACCCTCAAGCCAAAGGTAGACCCAAATTGCCTGGCACGAGGGTGGTTTTGTTTTCAGTGCCCAGAGAGGGGAGGCATGGGTGTAACCATTTCTGACTAATTTGGTTGTCTCTCGGTGCCATGTTTCTGGACTTGAGCAGACAGTGGATTTTGGTGAACCTCGTCCTCTGCCTCAGGCATCAAAAAGTTTGAGTTGGCTCTCCGCCTCCTTGCCTGTGAGGGGAATTCTTCCCTCACAGCAAGGAGATGGTTGCCATAGCTCTAGCCATTGACCGGAGAATAAGCAGTTGCCAAGCACTTTCTCTCCATCCCAGTTGCCTTAAAAAAAACCTTCTGCATTTCCCCCAGAACTGCAGAAGGCAAGGAAAACTATTGGCTTACAGTGGGCAGAGGACTAAAGTAGACTTTATACTATTTTAGTGTGCCCTAGACTTCCATTAAATGAGACAGGACTGGGAGTGCCATAATACATCTTTCCTTTAAACAGACACTGTTCTTTCTCCTGAAATCAAATGGGAAACCCTTATAGATAAAGAAGATGTACTTGCGTACATCTGCAAAGGGAATGGTTTTAAGACATGGCTTGCAATTCATGGGGGGGGGAAGCAACCTCTGCATTGACACTTCATTTCTGAGGGTGTGACTGTTGTTCAGCTTCACTGCTCAGTATGGGCTCACTGTGATTGCGCATCGACACTAAAATTTTCACCAAATGATAAATACAAAAATATGAACCTCTTCCCTATCCCTGTTCTACAGTTCCATGGAGTATTCTACACAACAGAGCTTCATCCTTCTACTATGATCACATTGTAGTTGGCTTTGACACACAGAAACAGATTGAGAAGAACAAATACTTTTTATGAACTTCAGAGGTATTTATGTTCCCAAGACGAACTTCTGCAAGGATACACATTCCACCTCTCTCTTGTCCCAGGTGAATTCCACCAATATGTTTAGTTTAACTCCAGCTGTGTTTTGGAAATCTATTAAACATGTGCCCTTTAAAAAGAAGTCGGGGCACATGTCCCAAATGAGATCAAACTAGCAGAACTGATTTATCATGTGAGCTCACTTCCAGCTTCATTAAAATGTGTTTTCAGAAGAAAAAAAACTTTTCCCAGTGCTATAGCTTTCTGGATAGCTCAGTGGTTTAGGTTTCTGGCTGCAGAGTCAGAGGTGGAGAACTGGATTCTCCACTGTGCCTCCTGAGAGTAGAGGCAGCTTGTGTGGCCTTGGGCCAGCTGCATGATCCCCAGAA